ATATTTCTGAGATTTCTGGTGTATAGAAAAGAAGGAACAAATCATTTAGCACAATTATAATAGCATTTTTTTAATTTAAAAAATAGTAACATCAAATTACATACATACTGTATGTTACTTGCCATAACTACAATGGTTAAAAGTTTCCTGCTGGGTTTTTATGACCTATTATAATGACTTACATTTGACATAGGCTCTACTGTAGGCTATTATGCAAGTGATATGAAAACTCATTGATAATTAGAGTTAATGGATTTATGACATTTCCAGACTTCCCAAACTGTTTCTTTTTTTATTGTGTTTGATTCAAACCTCAACTTCAACAATTCTGCTGCACAAGAATAGCTTCAAGGCAACAGAGCCTAACTACCATTTTTATACTTTAAACAGTGTTGAGTTATTGCAATAAGTGACTAGGAAGTGTCTCAAAAAGTTTAGATAAAAGTGTGTAACACCTGGCAGTGTAATCACTCCCAGCTTCAAAGCAAAGGTTTTTTTTGCTGAGATGTGTTTACCTTGGTTTGCCTTACATTCTGGGTAAAGGAACTGTCAATCAACAGTGAAGAAGACACCATACAGGATCAGATCAAGACAGAGATTTTTTTTCACCAAAGATTTACAATACATTCCTCTAACTATACCTAAAATCCTAACAAGTTGGGGGTTATGATAAATTATTTAAGTTATTGGCTATTCCAGTCAGTCAATGCCTATTATTCACCATTTTCATAAGCCCCAAATTTATAAAACAAACAATTAGAATACTTGGAGCCATTTATTTGAAATCCGGTTTCTCACTAATTCATATTTCACAGGTTTTTCACAGGAAATATTGACCAACCCAGCTCAAACTTATCTGGAATCTCTACTTGAGCTTTCAAAAGATGAGCTTTCAAAAGATTTCAAAAGATTAACACGCATACACAGTTTGTTAAAATAATTACTAATCTAAAATGAATTGATAAATAGCAATGTTCTTGAAGTCACCCGTATCATCAACTTGATTTGATTGAAGGGCAGTCTTTGTTATAAAATTATTCAACAACAGAACAGTTAAGATCAGTCAAAGATTTTATTAGTCCACAATTCAATGTTGTGCTTTATATCGCTAAACACACTGTCTTACACTGTACATGAGCTATTGAGATATCCCAGAGTTGCCTTAGAATTAGAATTATTTTGTGCTCTTTCCCATTTCTACATACAGTAGGTAATGCATCTTTCACTAGATGTTTCTTGGAACTGTGTAAAATTGGGTCGGACGTAGAAAAATCTTAATTTGTAACCAACCATTTTAATTAAAAGAATTTGTTTAATCACTTTGTTGAAAATGAAGGAGCGCCTTCAATGCACTCTTCTCAGATGTAGAATTCACACATACAGTATATATCTGAAAAATAGATCTTAGTTTATCCCTTTCTCAGTATAGTAAACATTACAGAGTAATTTCAATCCTCTTTCAAAGAAATGGAAAATGATACATTGAAGGCCATATTTTACCATTGTATTGTTACATAGTGCAGCATCACAAAAGAAGGGACTAAGAGACCAAACCATTTTTTTAATTTGACTCTTAATACCCCAGCAAGTTTTGTTTAGAAATGTCTGTCAAATTTCCATCTGCGATACTACCTTAAACATCAAAAAGAATAAACAGGTGGTAACATTTGTTTTTAATTCCTCTTATGAAGTCAATCCCATTTCTAAGATGATAAAATAAGATGTTACAGCTGGCAACACCCCATTCAAGTTCAATTAGAACAATACATGCACACAGCAGAACAGGTCTATGGCAGTCTAACTGGGAGGTCAGAGGAATAATGACAGATACAATTCATATATTATTTTGGAAGAAAGGGCCAATTAAAAACAGACTGTTGATAATATGGGAGAGATCTCTAAAATGCCCTGTGTAATGCTGTATGTGGGTTGCACATAACTATTTCTCCTTTCTGTTTTCATCAGTTAAAACCCTGCCCCTACCACAATCACAAATTTACTCAGAAATTCACAAATAGCATAGTCAACATTAACACATAAAAACACCTAACTGTACTTGGTCACAGACATGGTAAAATATATTTAAACTTAAATTGTCTAAACAATATTGTGAAATTGCACTACACAATGTTGCCCCTCCACTGTTCCTGAGTTCAGTCTTGCCAGTTTTGCTTAATGTAAAAAGTTTGAGATTAAGATGTAAAACCATCTTGTGGTTTTAAAACCCTTCGTGCATTAAAGTATTAAACATTGTTGGGTATCATTTCTGCTGATGACAGAGAATGCTTATTAACAAGAAAGTTTTAAAGGGGTTTATCTGTGTCAAAGGGATATTTCAAGATCAATTTGTTCTCAACTGCAAGTTCGTCACTGTCTATTCTTAAAGATAAAGCTTCATAACACAAAAAAACCTCTTTGTTTCCTTTTTATTTCAAGATAACATTCAACCTTGGAATTACTGTATCATAGCAACATGTTAAAGATTTAACAGTGCATGTAGCCCATTTTCTTTTTATATTAAATACAGATCCAAAAGCATAAAACTGAAGGATGTGTTGACCTGAGTTACTTACATTTACAAAAATAAATAAAATTAACCATGTATCTATGCACATATCTTTTTTAACTCTGTAATGGATTGTCACCGCTTAATCCTGAACTATAAACAATAAAAATACAATATTTAAACATTGACCTAGCAAAGTAATTAAATGAATTTGAATGCCTAGATTAGGTGATTAGATGCAACTAGATGCAACTCTACATTTCAATGCCCCAATTTTCTTAGGTGTTTAGCTTTTAGCCCACTGTACTCTTTTTGCCAAGCTTAATGAAGTTTCAAAGTAAATGTTAATCTCCCTGATAAAGCCATTGGTTGCCTATACCCAGTTGATGAGTTGTCTGATGTCTGGTTACTATAATCACAGTAAGTATAAAATCAAAACACAGACAGAAATGGGCATTACATCATTTACATCATACAGACAGCAGGGACGTCTTGAAAACCTTTTAAATACATACAGAAGTTCAAATAAATACAAAAATGTTTAACCAGTTTAACATTTAGACAATAACGGTACATGAAAGAATGCTTAATCAAAAGTAATCAACAAAGATTAAAGCAAAGTAACAATAAAATGACTTGCATTAAATTCACTTACAATACAATATGTACAATATTCTCTTTATTGAATTTAATATCTACAGAAATATCCACAGTTTTTCCTCTCAGACAGGTGTCTGAACAGGTGTATTGATCCTGCTCATATTAAATGGGCCAATACTGAAACTCAACCTGTTTTTTTCTGTGGCTTCACACCCAAACAACAGAGAACTCGGCCCCACTTACTATTCAGGACGCTCTCAGACAGCACTTGTTTGCAGCAGGAATCTTCAGCCATGTATCCTGAGGGTAAGGCAGCCAGAATAGCTCTCTGGAAATCTTCACCTCATTCTGTGCTGGTATTGTTTAAAAAAACCTGAAGGCCCTGTGGGCCTCCAACAGTTGATGTTTTAATTTTAACACATAATGTCCATGTGGCAGAGATGTTGGTTAGATCTGCTTTACTATGATTGGTTTACATCAGCAACATTGTAGAAAGACAACACTCTAAACCTTACCTTATCCTTACAGTAAGTTACACATATCAAAACAACCTTTTGCATAACTTCAATATTATGCCTGGATTTTTCCATATAAAAATGTAAAACTCTTTATTTTAAACACATTTAAAACACACAATGTTCATAAGTTTAAGGCATGTCCCTGATATTCTGAAAACCAGACTGTAATGAGCACCCCACAGTAGGGTCACTCCAAACATTACCTACTTGACTGAGCAATTTCATCTCTGCAAATATATCCATTCATTATTCCTTCTCTAATTTGGAAGCAAAGCTTGCATATGACAAGGGTTGCATGGCATTGCACTGAAATTGCACTGAAGGGATGAAATTACGTGTAATTACAGTCATGTTTGAAAGTTTGTGAACCCATTGCATAATTTGAGATTTATTGTTTTTTTAAACACAAAATGCATATTTAATCAGAATTAGGGAGGAGCTAACATAAATAATTGCGAGAAAGCAGGTCAGTTACTCTTTCTACGAGTCTAGCATCATGCCTCGAACTAAGGAAACATCAGCAGAAAGATTTCCTCAGATTTGGACTCCACAAATCCACTGTTGGGCAAAGAGTATACAAGTGGAGGGCATTTAAAACAATGGCAACCCTGCCAAGAAGTGGATGTCTACCTAAATTTTCACCCAGGACAACAAGGAGAATAATAAAAGAGGTAAAAGGTCATCCTATAATAACATCCAGAGAGCTACAAGCCTCCCTAGCTGCTTCTGGAGTAGTGGTGCATAGATCAACAATAAGAAGAACCCTAAACAGAAATGCCATCTATGGAAGGGTCGCCAGGATGAAGCTTCTTCTGTCAAAAAAGAACAAAACTGCTTGTCTGAAGTTTGCCAGAAACCACCTGAACAAGCGTGAAGAGTTCTGGAAGTCTGTTCTCTGGACAGATGAGTCCAAAATTGATCCTGTCAAGCATGGTGGTGGGAATGTCCTTGTATGGGGCTCTGGCCCTGGGCAACTTGATATCATTGAGAAATATCAATGAATCCTTGAGAAGAATGTCAGGCCATCAGTTCAAAAACTCAAGCTGGGCAGAAAGTTGATGTTTCAACAAAACAACGATCCTAAACATTCAAGTCCACTAAAGAATGGCTTAGGAAGAAGAGGTTCTGTTTTCCTGGAATGGCCAAGCCAAAGCCCTGAATCTTATTGAAATGCTGTGGCAGGACCTGAAGAGGGCTGTTCAAACCTCTGGTGGTGTTTTGTAAAGCTGGTGCTGATGGAGTTTTGTAAAGAGGAGTGGGAAAAAAATCCCTCCAGCAAGAGACTGATAATTGGTTATAGGAGGCAACTGTGTGAAGTTATTGCTGCTAAAGGAGGTACCACAACTTCATTTACTTTTGCACACAAGAATATCTGGTGATTTCTTAAATATCACAGTCTAATAATCTGTGTTCAAATCCCTTTTTATGCGTGGGAAGTCTTTATTTAGGATATTAATTCTATATATTCATTAAAAGTTCAGGTTCATATAATATCTCTATAATATCTAAAATAATGACCACCTTGAAGGGTTCACAGACTTTCAAGCATGACTGTACATGTAATGAAGGTTCTGCAGTGACTCAGCTAGTATACTGTAGGTGTACAGTCATCTGGAGTTGAGTCCTGTAGTCCAGACCCTCCCAGTGTGAGCTTGGGCTGTGTCATCAGCTGGCACAGCTGGCAAAGTATGAGCAGGGTGTGGTGGACGTAAGCCAGAGAGGTCACACCATGGTGAGCTGGCACTGCTTTCATTGAGTCAGAGGTGGCCTCCTCTTGAGGCTGTTTCTCCTATAAGGCACTGCGGAGCTCACAGTGTGTAAAACAGCCAGTGGCCTTCACAGGCACACATTTTAGAAGGACATCACCATGCTATACACCATCAGATTGTGTTCTTTTTTGGGGAGGGAACTTTTGAACATACTGCAGGTTAATGCATATTCAATTACTTAGGAACTTCCTAATATCGCTTCCATTTGCATTTTTATAGTACTTTATATGGTATTATGCGTGCACTGCTTTTTGACATGGTCCATAGAACATATGGAAACCATCACCACCTGCTCATGTACTTTTAAAATACATATATTTATTAACATATAATATAAAAAAGAAAAAAATGTAATAGTGCAATGGCCCAATGTTACTGCCAGCATCTACCCTGTTTGTGATGACTGCCTGAGTTGGACTGATTCTTGTCTGTGCAGAAGAACAAGAGGAAAGAGAAACACCACAATTTTATGGCCAATCAGTCCGTAAGCTGAATGTCAGAGGGGGAGTCACCGCATTCTATCTATTAATTTATTAATTACACAGGAGCCCTGATTCACTTTTTGACAGATAAACACAAAACCTGAAATCTGCCTACACATCAATAATGCAAGGAACACTTCAGTGAGGAGGCCATGAACTCCAAGGCAAGGCTCACCATTTCCAAGCCTGTGGTGGAATACCACATGTCCATATCAATAATTTGTAGAATATATTTGTAAAAATGACTCTTCAAAAGAATCTGAATTTTCTTATAGAATGTGTATATATTTTCCTTGTGCATATGTGGACACTAAAACAATAAAAGTAGAAAGAAAACTTTTCAGCACCTACTCAGGTGTCACAATGTGTGTTTTTCTGCTTTTACTCTTCAGTGTAGAATCAACCTTAACTAAAATATATTCATTTTTAAAAAGGTCTGTTAAATATAAGGGAACATAAAATGTCAGTCTTATGCCAGCCCATGACTAAACTGGGCCAATTTACAAAAACAACAAAAAAACACATACTGTAGTAGAGCAAGACTGCCACACAAGTTGCCTGCTTTGTTCTGTGAAGAGGCCTTTGAGGTGTGGAAACACCTCAACACTCCCTCAGCTTCAGGAGGCTCGCTTCTGTGACTCATGCCAATTGTCTGGGCCCCTGCCACCTTGAGAGAAGACTAAGGAGCTTTATTAATTCCTCACTGTGAAAAGAAAGATAAGCCCCAGTCCTCTGGTGTCTTAAAAATGGACATTCATCATAATTCACACATAATGTTTGTTGAACTGGCAGGGAAATTAATTTTAAGGAGATTTCAACCTCTTCAGGAAGAACTGTTCAAGAAAATAAATAGTAGTACATGGCAAAAAACATATTTCTTTATATTGTGCACAAAGCAGCAGAGCTCTGGGACAAACCCACTCTTCTTTTCTTTTTCTTGCTTGGACCCTTTGTGCTTTCAAAGGAAAAAGGCAGATCGCATGTGGAGTGGTGATTTAGGGGAGTTGTAAACTTTGTGGCATAAGGATAGGACATGAGCAGTGATTTAGAGATGCTCCAGAAGGAGCCCCTAAGTATGCCCACTCTTTTCATCAGTGTTGAGCTTTAACACCTTCTCATCTTGAGGGTCTCCTGTGAAGTGCTACATACAGTAGCTTCACTCAGGATTGTTGCTAAACACCTCCATCATGAGAGGTGTGACGTCTGGCTGGATGTCCTGGATCTGCAGCACCTGCCTGGTGTACTCTTCATTCATTGTACGCAGCTCCGTCAGACAGGCAATTATCTTTGGGAACAACAGGCTGGAACAGGAAAAGAAAAAGATGGTCTTCACAGTTATGTATAGAAAACAGGTGGGACAGTGGCGCATTGTCAGCTTTGCTGCCTTGCAGTGCTGCAGCCCAGGGCTCAAATCTGGATATGGGGAGCAGTCTGTGTGGAGTTTGTACTGTATGTTCTTCCCTTGTTCATGTGGGTTCCCTCTGAGTGTTCCAGTTTCCATCCACAAATCCAATTTCTAATCCAAAGACAAACTAATAGGTTCAATGGCTTCTGTAAATCAGCCCTGTTGTGAGTGTGTGTTTGCGTCTGTGTGTCATGCAATGGACTGGTGTCCCATCCAAGGTGTATCGTGCCTTGTGCCAGTAAATTTCAAGGATAGATTCTGGTATTCCTTGTGAACGTGTACTGGATAAAGCTATTTAGAAAATGGAAGGGTGGATGAGGGTACATTATGGTAATGACAAAATCATGAGCGTTTTGTCCTGTCTTCAAGATTATGTCTACAAGACCAATGAGAACTCAGGAAAGAAGAATATTTTGTGAAATGAAATTATCAAAAATTGAAAAATACATTTTTAATCGTGTTAGATTGGAAAAATGTAGATAGACGAACTATCAATAGTTAACTGCAATGGCTTCAATCAAATGCTGTTTAGAATGTTGCCATTGCTCTGATCATTTTTACAAGATAAACATTCAGAAAACAAACTGGAAACTAATCATTACATAAACTGTTGCAAAACTGTTAATTGTTTCAGTTGGATAACAGATAAAAAACAGTCCTCTTTTTTTCTTTATTTCTTATAACACTTTTTGCATCCTCTTTTCTAATTTATATATTGGGTGACTCAATATGTTCCACAAGAGGTCCATAAACCTGATTTTTATGTTTGCATTTTTGTTAAATTAATCAATCTTATTAATTATTGCTTTCATACTGTATGTTTTCCCAAGGAGAAACTACTGCATTGTCAATTTCAGTAAAAGCCACAGTGAGAAATAGAACAGGAGAATCTGACAAAACAGCCACATCTGGACATCTGTTCAAGATCTGGGTATGAGTAAGGGTCATTTTAAGTTAATCTATATTTTCTGCAGGGCTTAAGTCTTTATTCTAAAAATAATACTTCCCAGAACTCCCGAAAACCCTGTAACTGTTCCTGCTAAACCAAGTGGAGTCAGAGTGCAAAGCTAATCTATAGAGTTGCATCTACAGTATAGGGACATTTCTAACATAGCTGTGAGCCTTCAGCTCTGCCCTTGAAACCCAAACCCATGAGGAAGATTCTTAAATAAAAGTGGCCATCTGCATAAAATACACAAAGTTACATTTTTTCTTTAATTTCTACTGAAAGACTCCCTTGGCCGGATATAAAACTTGCACAAACCAGCTGGAAATGTTTGCTTATTTACAGTAAATGAAAAGGTATATTTAAGGGGTTACACCTTACAAACTTCAATTCTCCTAAATGTTTCTCTACAGTGCTTGTTTTTTCAATGATTACACACCTCAGTAAGTGTTTTTTTAATAAATATTGCTCATCTCAATCTAATCAGCACTTATTTTCAAGTGTCATCCCCATAGAGTCCACACTCATATCATGCTAGAGTACTGCAACAAGGTAGATAGTACTGAAGTGTAACAAATGGGAATGAACCTTAAGAAGGCGACATTGATACACTCCAAGATGGCAAACCTCTACATTGTCACAAGAATAATAAGGAATTGGCTGCACCTGTGAGAATTCGATTCCCTCTAAAGCAGTGGTTCTCAAACTTTTTGGACAAAGTACCACCTGCAAGTCATGCTACGTTCGTAATAAACATTCCTATACAGTGGTATAGAATTACATTGTAGCTCTTTTGTCCACTCAAGTATTAGTGCACGCTGTATCGAAGTACGTAGACTGTGGATTCGACACAAACTCTGAAAATAGGAAAACCCGTCCCAATTTTTCAGTAACATCTAGCGGTGTTCTGCGTACCATAGTTTGAGAACCACTGCTATAAAGGAATTGAGAGAATGGACAGAAATTGTCTACACAGATTCTCACAGTCTCCTGATGGTGAGATACTGTATCTGATCTCAGAGTAAGATTACTCATGGTAATTTTAACGTTCAGGATTATAGTGTTTGCTTTCAAACAAAACAAAAAGTGTCAGATAGAGCAAAGTGAAACCCCAAATTTTCTTTTCTGCTTAAAACCATTATGTTATGAAGCCATAAGAGCATTGATTCAGTTTGTTGCTGTACAACAGGAAACAAACAGAATACAACAGGAGGCGATAGCAGTCCAGCAGGAGGTCACTCAGGTCCTACCAGACAGATTAGCAGTTTAATTAATTCAGTGTTCGGGGGTAGGAGACGACGGAAAAGAACACCATACTCCCTATCCTGTGCGCATACTACAGAAAATGACAACAAAGGATGGTGTTGAAACCTATCTTGTAGCGTTTGTGTAATTTAAATTACAATGTAGGACAAGGATCCTCCCAAAACATTATTTAATTCATTAGTGGAGACACATTGCAGCATAGCTAACTGATAAGCTATGGCACCAGTACAAGCAATGCTGGGTTGAGACACAAAGGACGCCAGTGCCCACGTGCCCACGTTCTCCCTCAGGAAACAATATATCAACTTTAAAATCAGGTGACAAACAAATCTAGGACAAGTATGCAATTAACGTCAGGGAATAAAAAGAAAAATACGATGAAAATGTATCTGTCTCCCAGTAGGAGAGTGGGGCCACCCTCAAACCAATGGACTGCAGTGGCACTTATACTAAAGGCCCTGGTAGGACACACTGAGTTTATTGAGCAGAGTAACCTGAAAACAAGGTTGGTGGAATAGAAACACGGTTGGTAGGTTTGTTAACAACATAGCTATTCCCTGCAGATTCTGTGCTATGCTACCATCTAAGAGGGATCCTGTTCCAGGTAAATAATGTAGTTTAAAAAATCCTCCCAATTCAAAACCAGTGTTTCCCTTCTTCATGGTTACTGAAAGTGAAATCATTATGTTTGCAGCAGTTCCGTTTGCCTTAACTTACAAGGTGAGATGGCGTATCTAAGAAACCCAACTTGAAAAGGCTAAACTTTGCATGATACTGTATATCGTTAACAGTGATAATTACACTGGTAACACAAAGTTAAAACCACACAAGACTGGAAGTTGGTTAGTTTCTGGTTGCACTGAACCCTATAAATATTCCGTGAGATCCAGTCCCTCCTACAAAGATTCAATGTGTACATTTTCACTAATTTAACAGTAATGAACAATTAACTGACATGAGGGAACATGTGCAGTATCACTGGGTAGCTCACCAATTAGTACAGCACCACCTTTTATGCCCACGGACATATTTTAAAAACTCACAAATTAACTACCTAACTAAGTTACAGTCTTTACTTGAGAATGGTGATATCCACCTATTAGGTTAAGACCTTGTTGCTGATAATGTCCAGCTGTTCTGTAAGGGACTTCATTGCTGATGATAATATCACGCTGTTTGGTTAGGACAATGAACTAACAACTGACAACCTTCTGTCTGTCAAATGATTATTCTCAAGAGGTATAAGATCAAGACTGTGAATGTATATGGATTGCGCAGTGACACAAAGCTACTACTGTGTGATAATCTGGAGATTAATATACTTTACATTGTGCAACAAAGACTTGTGTTTTTGATAGAATGTTATCACATGTACAGATGCAGCCATTCAAAATGCGCGGGCGATACCGCGAGTTACCGGTAAATACCGCGAGTTAACGTAAATTCTCCTATAATACGACAAGCAAAATAATAGTATCCAGAATTTCCGCAAGGTGGAGCTAATAAAGC